GATGGTAACCAAAATGCAGATTCCTCCTATGTAGTTACCGCAGTTTGATATAGTAATGTAATTAATTAACATAATTAATAAATGTAATTAATATCATTAAGTTACTCCACACGAATGAGTTTCTGTCCCAGGAAGGGTGTTACAAAAGCCAGTATTGGATATTGTGATTTCCTAATTGATTGAGCTGACCCTGCGAGCCGGGCTGTCTCAAAAGCTGGTCTACCAAAACTCCAATCTACTTGCAGCATTGCCTCATCAACACCTATTCAATATAGTCAATCAAGGTGAATGGTTTTCATATCTGTCTGGCCTGATCCAATTTGACAGTGAATTCTGCAAGCTTCCTGGCTTACTATCTTGGTTCCCTAGCCAGCATGCTATTTAGTTGGCCAATTTTGCTTTCAGTGTCCCTAAAGAGCTGCTATTTATTTAAAAGTGACATTCCACTACTTGCAGAAAGTAAGTGCATAAGGAAGAAAGTGGGTGGCTGTTGCGGTGAGGCAGTAGGTAAGGGGAGTTGAACAGCAAATGAGTATGTGAAGACGCTAGGTTAGGTTGAAGAGTGCTTGGGTGGTGAGGCATTTTCATGGTGTCTGGAAGAGTCAGAGGGTCGGGGATGGTTTTTTGGTGTGTGGGGCAGATGACAGGAAGAACTGGATGACTGATGGAGTTGAGTCAGACCTGGAAGGGTGGTGGTTGTCAGGTCAGGTGGTGGAAGTATAGCTCAGAGTTGGAGAACTTTTCAGAGGGTTCCTGACAAAGTGTAATTGCCCATCAGAAGTTTAAACTTCCTGGGCAGTTTCGAAAAAGACAGTCCATTAGGATCTCAACTTTGGGGTATGTCCAGTCTCTGACTGTCTGGAGACCAAATGATCTGGATTATTGTTTATCCACTATTCCTGATCTTCACTATTTTGTCTTTCAATATGTATCCAAATTTAATGCAGATTTTTTGACTTTGAAAAAAATGGGCTGAATTTTACCAAAAATTGGCTAACTGTTAATTTCAAGGCATTTAACAGTGGGTTTTTCTCTGAGTTTTTGTGATTTTTCTCAGGCAATTCCCAATGCTGACCCCATTATGTATACATGATATCTCTGTGGTGCCACTCTCGTGCCAGCTTACATTTATTAATAGATAATGACCATGGTGCCATATTTAAAGCCTAGATATGCTGCAGATGAATCATTGCCAGCCACATATACAGCTTCGTTGTACATGTAGTGGGAGAGAAACAGAAAAAGTAAAACTTCAGAGGGCACATGGGTAAAACTCATTGGAACATTCAAAAATGCATTCTTAGTCATCATTACCTGTCTGATTGACTGTCATTGCAACTACAGCTACAAGAATTAAACCTTACAGGCTTCCCATCCTTATCCTCATAACATATTAGAATTTCCCCTGACTGATCATTGCAGACAACCACAACAAGTTGTTTGGTCTTTTACCTGCACTAAAAGGCAAGGCAAGACTGAAGTATGGTGAGCCTGTAAGTTCTGAATGAGGTGGCAAGGTGCAAACAGGCAACACAAGACAAGGCAGAGAGACTGTGAGCATCCAAATAGACAGAAAATGTGTAAGCACTAAGAAAGCAAACCAAGAGCCCTGAATTGTGGCAGAATGGTAACGTCATTAGACATGTAAACCAGAGGTCCAGGCTTGTGTTCTCTGTCTGTCATGTGTTTTCTCTGCCTGTCATGTGTTTGATGTAGATAGTGTACAGGCAGCTATACTTTCACTTTAAAAGAGTAGAGGCCTGAGATGCATCCTGCTCCAATCAATGAGATTGGGTGCCTGTCCCTGCCCACAACCAGCCTGCCAGCAGCATTGTAATGCAAGGTGTTGGTGTGCTCCAAAGTGCAGTATTGAAGTGGAAAATGTATTTTAGATGAGTAAAAGAAATATGATGATGTGGTGTCTGGTGTGAGCCCAATGCTAACCTCCATGGCTGGGGCAGTGCAGCCATTACTGCCCATGGAGCGTGCCCTGAGATGTTGGTACTGCTGGCAAGATGGAAGCCCAGAGGAGGAAGTGGCAAGCTGGAGCTGCCAGGTGCACACTCTGACTTAGATGTCAGGAACTGCTGACATCTAGTTTCTGTCTATTTTGTGAGAGAATAATAGCATATAAATTAAGTGAAAAGAGGTAATAAGGAGGTGTTTATGCATGAAAATGGGCCTCTCACCACTCACTAGTGAAATTCTCTTCTCACCTTTCAAACCTTGGGGCCAAAATCAAATGTTACTTCTCAATGACAAGAATCTTTTCTTTCCCCAATCCCATATTTTTCCTGCACTACAGTTCTGAGGAATGAGGAAGGGTCACCGGACCCGAAACGTTAACTCTGATTTCTTCTTCACAGATGCTGCCAGACCTGCTGAGCTTTTCCAGAAACTTTGTTTTTGTTCCATATTTTTCCTAACTGACTCACCATTGCTAAAATCATTCAAAAGCTGGAAATTCAGCCATATCAATTTGTCATCATCTGTGAGAAGTACTTAGACTAAGAATGACTTCAAACCATTTTTTAAAAAATTCAGATAAAAAGCAACATTTTTGACTGATCTGAAAAACATTTTTTAAGTTTAACTGAGATGACTATCCATCCTCGGGGAGGCGATGGCCTAGTGGTATTATCGCTGGACTGTTAATCCAGAGACCTAGATAATGTCCTGGGGACCTGGGTTCAAATCATGGCAAAGGGTGGAAGTTGAATTCAATAAATATCTGGAATTAAGAGTTTAATGATGACCATGAACCCATTGCCAATTGTTGGGAAAAATCCATCTGGTTCACTAATGCCCTCTAGGGAAAGAAACTGTCATCCTTACCTGGTCTGGCCTACATGTGACTCCAGACCCACAGCAATGTGGTTGACGCTTAACGGCCCTCTGGGCAATTAGGGATGGGCAATAAATACTTGGTAGCCAGCAATGCCCTCATCCCATGAATGAATAAAGAAAAAAAATACTAATGCATCTCAGTACCTTAGCAATATTAGGGAATGTCTATTTGTCAGCATCTGCTTTTAATTGAGTGCAAGAACTATTTGTCACTCCTATTGATCAGGATGGAGTAGCAATTTTTATAAAGATTTGGCTTTTTGATTATATATTTTTTTAAATTCAGGTTTGAGTGAACAGTATGTACAATCTCTGCGGAAGTGCCAATAATAAAAACAGAATTCGTGGAGAAGCTCAGCAGGTCTTGCAGCATCTGCAGAGAGATAAACAGAGTTAACATTTCAAGTCCATTATCAGTCATATCACATTCAAAACACTGGCACAGATTTTCTGTTGGCCATTCTGTCATTATACCAGTGTAGTTAGGAGTTGCATATGGGGACTTTTAGGAATCTCCATCCCAGTACACTTCAAAAGGAAGTCTCCAGGAAACTGAATTTTCTGCTGGGCAATTCCAATACACCTGGAGCCTTCCGATGGTCTCCATTTAAATCAGAGACTTCAGATGATTCTGATGAAATTAAGTAAAATAGTTATTCATGAAAGTTAGACATAGTCTAACTCCTGAGTAACTATTAAACAGACTTAATTACCTGACAAACCCAAAACTACTCATCCTCAGACCCCTTACAACCCCCTGAACCAACCATCAGGACTTGACACCCACCCTCCTGCCCATTCTTCACTTCATCTGCCCAACCCAAACACCAACCAGCCCAGGACCTACATCCCCTACATTCTGCCACCCACCAGATCTGACCCTAACCCCTTGCCCTGCCAGACATGACCCAACTACCCTGCCAACCCTGACTGACCTCCCCCTTAGGCTGGAATGCACCTGATACCCTTGTTACCTCCTGCCATTGGATCTGACTCCTCATGCACTCCCAATCGGACCTGATTTCTCACACCCACCCTAATATATTGCACCACTTATCTTGCCATCTCGCACCCTTACGCTCACGTTGCACTCTACCCTTAGCCTTATTTGCACACCACCTACCCAACACCCTAGCAACCCTGTGCCCTACTCTACCTACCCAGTTGGTACCAAATTTACCTGGCCCAACCCAAGCCACACTACTAATCTAGAACATGACTCTACACATCTGACATCCTGCACCTGGCATTCTACACCCTCTCCAGCTATCACCCTTCCTAGCTAGCATCCTATTTACCTGGTATCTTGACATCCTACCCTTCAGCTGACACTTTTACCCTGTTCTTAGCAGGCACTGTAACATCACATTATAATTTTGTACTTATTGTTTGACAGCAGGGTTCAAAGTGGCTATCTGCAGCTTTAACTGTCAGAATTCAACAGTTTACTGCTGTGAAAAGGGTTTGTAGTCTGTCTTTCTCTGATAGCTCTGTGCTTTGAAAGAACTGTCAAAATTGGAGTGTGGCGCTGCATTTATGAGGGAGCCCCAAGTGGAATTGTCTCTCATATAGCTGGAGCTCCCTTCTTTCAAAAAATGAAGGGTCAGACGGTAATCTGCATGAGATTGCTATTCCTCAGAAAATCTGGCCCACTAACTTTCTATTTTTCTCTCCACAGCTGCTGCCTGACCTTCTGAGTTTTCCCAGCACTTTCTATGTTGGATTTTCAGCATCTCCAGAACTTTATTAAAGAACTGTAGATGCAAGGGATCTGAACCAAACAAACACAGAAACAGCTGGTCTAGGCCCGAAACGTCAGCCTTCCTGCTCCTATGATGCTGCTTGGCCTGCTGTGTTCATCCAGCTCTACACCTTGTTGTCACAGCTGGAGAAACTCAGGTCTGGCAGCATCTGTGGACAGAAAACAGAATTAACATTTTTCAGTGCAGTGACCCTTATTCAGAAGTTCTTTGAAGTACTTTACTGTATTTTTATCCTAATGAACCATCATTAGGCACTATCATTGATGATAATATACTTGATTTTCTGATCATTATTTGCATAAAAGTCAGAAATACATTTTATTTTCATCTATCTTTTTCTTTTGTATTAATAGTGTGTTTTGGTTGTTTGTTTTTGCCTTACTCTTACAGGAATTCATATAAAGAGCATGATGAAAAACAGCTCACTCCATCAGTGGATTGCTGCAAGGAAAGTGATAAATGGACCATGTCTCCTTCAAAGGGACTTCTTTCAGCAACATCATTAGGTAACTTAAAAAATGTAATTCAAATTTAGTTTTTAATATAACCAATGCTGATAATTAACTAGAATTGTTGGATGAAACAAATACCAAATAAAATTTTAAGATTCAGGGACAGTTCTGGTTCTTTTCCAAAGGTGCACCTGTTGATGTCTAGACAGAATATTCCATAAACAGATTTAATCTGTTATGAACATATACCTAAGTTTTTGTTTACATCAAGTACGTTGGCATTCTACACTTCCCAGCCACCCTATAATCAAGTTCTGTATGACTTATTGTGGAATGTGTGGTAAGCTTACTAATTCTCCCTTCATTTGTTTATATGGAGAATAAAGTTCATTGGGATTCCAGGAATGGTATAAACTACAGTTCTGATGTGAACAATGAGCAAGCTTGTAGATATAGTATTTGCTAAGTATTACTGATCTTTCATGGCAAAATATTTATTATGTACCATCTTATCCAGAATGTTCCAGATATTCTGATTCTATTGGTATTCTTCTTCAAAATACCTACTTAACTGTCGGCGACTTTTCCAGCCAAGATACTGAGTTTGGCCTTTTCCAAACATGTCCAGAGATAAACAACAAAAAATCCACACAGTGCAAGAGTAGCTTTACATAGCTAGATACACCTTTTTTTTCTGACACTTGATGCTACATTTCAGTAGTTAAAGGTCCTAATGACACTCACAGTGATTGAGATGTGTATATGGTATATGAGTGGAGAGGATGGCAGGAAAGTGGGTGAGTAGGTCGAGGTGACAGACCCAGTAGAGTAGGTCGGGACAGGAAGTGCCAGGTATGATGTCAGTTTGAGTTTTACAGGAGATAAAGTAGGTTTTTCAACCTCCAACTTTTTCATATAACTATTAAGCTTAAATGAGTTGGAACCTTCTAATTTCACTGACTTTAATGAACTCATTCAGTAGGTTCCAGATGTAGGAGAATTGCCCATTAGAATATTAAATTTCCCGAAATTATCAAATTCAATATTGATTCATGAAGGCTGCAGAGTCCCCAAGCAGAAAATGAGACGTGGTTCTTCAGCTTGTGCTGACCCTTGCTGAAGAGAGTAGCAAACTCAAGACTAAAACGTTGGCCAGGGACCATGATGGTGTTTTGAAGTGGCAGGCAGTTGAAAACTCAGCGTCATTTTTGCAGACAGAATGGAGGTGTTCCACAAAGCATTCGCTCAGTCTACATTCACCTCAACAATTTACCTGGAATTCACTCAATCTAGTCTATTGTATTCACTGCTCACAACGTGACCTTCTCTACATTGGGAGATAAAACACAGACAGTCTTAGAACTTGAACACCTTCTTCTGTATCCTTTACCCGCCACCACACCTGTCATGACGTGGGCTGTTTTCAGGACAGCCAACCCATTTTCACTAACTTATGGTCCTCATTATCAGCTTTACTATCTTGCTGGTAAACTATTATTCATCCCTATGTTTTTTGAACTATTGTTCTCTCTCCCTGAACTGCATATCCGTCTTTCCACTCATTCCTCTTCTACTCCTCCATCTGTGTCTTCAGCATATATAACAACTTTTTCTTGGTGCTATCACTTCTGAAGAATGGTCACTGGACTTGAAACAATCATTCGGCTTTCTCTCCACAGATGCTCCCAAATCTGCTGAGTTTCTCCAGCAGATTCTTTTTTTGTATGTGTACAAATCTGGCTGAAACAGTCCTTTCTCCAAAATGCCAGAAAGTTTCAAGCATCTGAGAAACTATACACAATTTTTTAATTCATTCATGGGATGTAGGCATATTGCCAATCTTGGTTGCCCTTGGGAAGGTGACAGTGAGCGGTCTTCTTGAACTGCTACTTTCTGTTTGCTGTCAGCAGGTCAACACTGCCACTAGGGAGTTCCAGGATTCTGACCCAGAGACAGTGAAGGAACGGCAATATATTTTCAAGTCAGGATGGTGAATGTCTTGGAGGGGAACTTGCAGGCTTTGTTCTGGATGATGTCAAGTTTCTTGAGTGTTATTGGAGCTATACCTGTCTAAGAAAGTGAAGGTTATTCCATCACACTCCTAAATTGCATTTTGTAGATTGTGGACAGGCATTGGGAAGTCAGGACGTGAATTTTGTGCCAGGTCTAATTCCAATCAGCTGAGGATTTACCTATTGTTTCCAGTTTTGCTAGGGCTCCTTGATGTCAAAGACAGTTCATTTCTCACTTCACCTTGACATCAAGGCAATATAAGCCACTGTTTTAGGAGAAGAGAGAAAGGGGGCAAATATTAGAACTAAAATAAAAAGGAAAAAAAAATAAAGTGTTGAATTAGAAGTGAAGAAGAGTTTAATGTTTGTTGGTTCTAGTATTATCAATAAAAACTAAGACTGGATTTTTGCAACAAAAGAGACCACCTTCCATTTTCGCAGGGGGGGGCGTGAATGGAATCAGGTTACGATTTGTGCATGCTCATTTTACAGAGGCAGCTACCATAGAAATCAACAACTGTCTCCATTCCTGTGCAATTTTGATAACCTGTGAGTGTAAAATCTGAAATTAATAATCTGCAGGTTAGGCCTGGCAGCATCAGGTCTAAGTTTTGTGGATATATTTGCCGAACTAGGATAACCTTTTGGAGAGGTAAGATACCCTTGTTGATAAAGTCCCAGGAAACCAGGTCAGATGTCCTTTGGAGGATGAGTTGTCCTTTGAGATTTCTAGAAGTAGGCATGGATGTGATGATTTGATTGATCTACAGTTTTTGAAGTGGGTCCATGAATGCCATTGTTTATTGTTATAAGGGATTCTGTACTTGAATGAAACATTTGTTGTTATAAAGCATTATTAGCGGAAGAAATGTTGAGTTATTTTTTACGAATGAAGGTATTATTTTTCAGTATAAAGAAGTCTGGAATAGACACTTACCACTATATTTTATTTCATCTCTGCAAAGGTCTTGATGTATGTTCATGGTGGATACTTGATGAGTTGGCATGATAGGTGCAAAGGCAAAAAGAGTGATCAGTGGAGGAGTATCAGTTGGTGTACCCTGCAGCTAAGTTGGCATGTGGCCTATAAAAGGTCATGGGTGTCAAGGGGTTTTTTGAAACTCAGTAGAGTGCCAGAGCACAGAGGCAGGCCTTCCACCAAGATTGCCTCAGTATTAGAGATAACAAGGTGTAGAGCTGGATGAACACAGCAGGCCAAGCAGCATCAGAGGAGCAGGAAGGCTGACGTTTCGGCCCTAGACCCTTCTTCAGAAATGGGGGAGGGGACGGGGGTTCTGAAATAAATAGGGAGAGGTGGATAAAAGATGGATAGAGGAGAAGATAGGTGGAGAGGAGACAGACAGGTCAAAGAGGCGGGGATGGAGCCAGTAAAGGTGAGTGTAGGTGGGGAGGTAGGGAGGAGATAGGTCAGTCCAGGGAGGA